TCCACATCTAAGAGGGTTATTAAATCATAACAAAATACACCACAAGCTTGGAGCCGATAGATCTTACATAGCCTCCGTGGACGCCACATTATGGATAGATCTTACATAGCCTCCATGGACGTGAAGCAATATTCACTCTTAAGATGGCTTCCATGGACGTGAAGCAGTATTCACTCGTTAACAAGGAACGAAATGGGAGGCAGACACACTCTTGCCTAGCAGGGTTTAACACAACTGTTTTGGTTTTGCTTCCTTGTTCTTTTTTTCTTCTTCCTTTATTTATTTTTTGTCGATTCCTACATATGCAACTTTTATCATCTCAATGAAATCTTGTTAACATTCAAAGTAAATAAAAAAAGGATTGTTGGATAGGTCCAGCTAAGTTCAATTTAATGATTTAAAAAAAACACAAAACAAAAAAAAAGATAAAAAGAAACCTATGCGAGGAGTTTTAGGATAGAAACAAGACCATTCTATAACCAATTTGATCAATTCCCGATCCAGATCGGTGATCAGGTTAAAAAACAACCGAATTTTAAATGCTTGGTATGACATAATCCATTTGATCTCGATAATTCATGATCTTAAGTTTTCTCACCATATGATGATGGGATTCACTTGACTCTGTCATGTCCAACTCATAGATTGGACCTCATACGCTATAACCATGCTCTGGTGATTACATGGATCGTCACAAATTCTTTAAGAGTGGGTTGGGGCCTCGGTACTACAATCAATCCCTATGATAAATTCCCATGCTCCGATTTCATCAAAAAGTAGGGCCCAAATACCCTTTGACATACTTAAAAAAAAAAAAGCATCCATCGCACCGTACACTGATATACATGAACGGAAGGGGTACAGCCGCGTGTTCTTCGTCATTTTCCAAAAGAGAGGACCCACTACTTTTTGTTTAGATGGTTGGGGAGTTGGCCCGCCACCCCTTGCTTTTCTTACAAGTAATATTGCCAAATGATTATGTGATCCTGGTGGTGCATATCCTATATTCACCCTTCTTGGTAAAGGAAAATTGTTTTATGCCGGTTGGACCCCATTCATCTTAAAGATAGATGAAAGTGGGTGTTCCACTTAAAAACAATCAAAACTAACTGTCCAAATATGTTTTTTATTAGAATTATTACTTTTAATTTTTAAAATTTATTTATTTTTTTTAATATTTATGATATCCACATTAAGATTACATGTCTTTAAAAAGTAAGTCTTTAAATGCGTCTCAAGAGTAGATTTATTAAAAGGTCGGCATTTCTACATATGCGAGATTGGCCCCATAGAAACCTGGTCCCATGACCATTTAGTAGTTTTAGTATCCAAAAAAGTATGTAACCTTTAGAACGAAAAATGTTATATAAATTAACTGCTAAACAATAAAGGATAAGGTTTCTATGAGTTGGCCGACACAACTGTTTAAGTGAGTCATCTATCCAAGATCCATTTCAAAAAGAAGTGCCCAAATTTACAGTCTCGAGAAAGAAGTTTTTACCAAAAAAGAAGCAAATGCTGATATTTTGAAGGCATTTGAAAATTAGAACCAGAATCTCTTCAAATCAATTGAGGTTATATACTTGCAAGAACAACATGAAAGGAGGAAAAAGAAAAAAACCCAAAAAGCTCTGATTAATAGGGGAAAATGCCCAGATTTTTACATTCCCAAAAAAAACCCACAAAAGCAAACCACAAAATTAAATCAATGAAGAATTTTTCCTTACCACACAAATGAGTCCTTGTTAATGGAGGGTATTTTCTTCAAAAAATACAATAATAATGGAGTGAAATTTAGAACTCTCAAGAAGGTGTGATTTATGGTGGTGGTTGAGCCTGTCAGGAGGCGGCGAGCAACAATGGAGAAAGGGTGCAATGGAATGAGCATATCCTGGTTTTGTTGGGTTTTGAGGATTAGCAAAACCAGGTTATAATGCGTAAAAGTCAATCCAAACATCCCAGTACGTATCTTAACCTAGATGTACAAAACCAGGTTTTCTATGTGATAGGTCCCAAACGACCCCAATTAGGGAATGAAAATCTCAACCATGATGAGTAGGAATATGAAAAAGGAAATTAAATTTTAAAAATAAAATAAAATTCTTGATAAAATTTCAACATTGTTAATTTTAAATTTTAGTAGGACTACTATGTTAGATGGATGTTTAATGCGTCAAGGGACCCTTGTACAAGTGTTTCCCCAAACCCACATACTATTTTACCAAAAATAAATAACACCATGAGATTCAACCCAGTTTTCAACAATCAAATTTAAGTGTTTAAAATTAAAAAATAACTTCTTTTCCACAAAAAAAATGCTATTATTCTGAAAAAAACTATTAAAATACACATAAGAGATCAACCACTAAGTTACTCATTATCTTCATCGTCTAAGCTTTATCTTAATTATTTGTGGTAGCTACATGAATCCTATTTCTCTATTCTTATATACTTTTTCTTAAAATACATCTGAGTAAGATTTGAAATAACTAAAAAACATAAATTATTCAATTATTTAAAATCGAAAAATGGTTTCATGGGGTTGCAGCCCAATCAAATTAAGTAAAGCCTCACCTCATAACTCATCGAAAATTCCAATTCAAGCATTTGAAAACCTTCACATCAATCATCTCGACTTGAACATTATGTTAGTGAAAAATTACGATTTCAAGCTCTAAAATTAGGATATAATGTAACAAATTATCTAGACGGTCTATTTCACCCAAACAATAAATGCTACAGATTCACAAGATCTGTACTATTTATTGAGTTTCAAATTTTATTGTCAGTGTTAAAAATTGATTTTAGAGCCATGATGAGATTTTTCGTGCCGCAAGCGCTTTCTAGGCAATGATTTGAGGTGAGGCTTTATTTTGTTTTCATAAAGCCTAGGAGTTATGAAAACCTCATCCTTCCAAACTTAGATATATTTTGATAAATTTCCCTTATTATATAATAAAGGGTGTGGTTTGTATAGAGCCAAGGCTCTAAACAATCAAAGTAAAGCGTACCTTCAAATAGTATCGATAAATGTGGTTTCAATACTGAAAATCCTTGTGATAGCCTTAAAATATACTTTTATCTTTAATTATAAATTTTAAAGCTCCAAACTAGTGTAGATTGAGCAGATTTGTGAAAAATTGAATATCTTGAAAATTGATGGTCCAAAAATGCTTTACAAGATGCACTATTTCCAAAACTTGAAATGTTTTTTTTTTCTCAGGTCCATGCATCTTGATGTCGAGATGATCAATTTGAAGATATTTGGGCATCAAACCAACCTCTTCTAGTGAAATTTTTGAGGTAGGCTCTAATTTGATTGTTTAGAGCCTCTACTCTATATAAACTTTTTCCTATAATTAAGGTTGCAACCTTAAAATGTAGAATTATATATGCACATAAAAAAATCCATCAGAAATGTTGTTTTAACATTGAAAAGCCTTCTAATAGATCATCTCGACATAGAGATGTATGAATGTGATAAAAAAATAAATTTGTCGCCCAGAAAGAGTTCATCTTGCAACACCTTATCTAAATCGTCCATTTTCAAGATTTTCATATGTTGATGATCTACTTGATTTTAACTATTTTTGAAGTTTAAAATTTTATAATTAGATATGAAAATAGATTTTGAGATAATTCTAAGAATGTTTTACACCAAAGGTGCATGTTATGATAATATTTGGAGGTGCGCCTTAATTGGATTGTTTAAGGCTGCAACCTTATAGAAACCACACCCTTTATTGGCGAACTTATACATAGAATCCGCAATTTTTTTTTGAAGTAATTTAGTGGGGAAGACAGGCCCCTAATCATTTTTTTCAATAGATTAGGAATTACATTTTCAGAAGTATTAAGTGGGGTGGTGTTACTGGTAGGAATAGAGACACAACATGGTGATTAAGTCTAGGAACACTACCACCACGACCAGCCCTTTTCCTAATATTAAACATTTCTCTCGTGTCATTGGTTCTCATGTACCTCGAAGAAACCAAATAAGGCTGATAAACGTTAAATTTAGGCTAAGATAATTAAATTTTTATGGAATCGACTATCTTATAAGAAATTAATATACGGTGGATAATTCAGTTGGTTACTTACTTAGTGCATACCTTCTACCATACAATGTAATTTTATTATTATTATTTTTTATGATTTTCAGCTAGTTTTGGCTAAAAACATGTGATTTTAAATAAATTATTTTGAATAAAGTAAAAATAAATTTTAGAAAAGATAAATTTATATGTAAAACTGTTTATAAGTTTGTCTCATATAACTTTATAATAGACACTGTCAAACAAATGATAACTTATTATCATGATTAATTTTATTAAAATAATGAATTGTTATATCCAAACATGCCCTTAATCATCGCCATATCCTCGAGTATGTGGTTATGACCTAGACTTTATGGAGAAAATAGAGCGTCATATCTTATATCTAATTGGAAATTGGAGTGCACTTTCAAGTGCTTACATATCCACTAGGTCCGCATCATTTTTTGATATTCAAATTTCATAATTAAGGGCATAAATAGATTTTAAAGCTACCATAGGGTTCTTGATGTTGGAAATACATTTTTGGTGGGATTTTGAGGGCCTCGTGTTAACTTTTTCCATTCTCCAAAGGCCTCCACACTATGGATATTTATTGTTTCTTGCGCTTGTTGAGACATCATGAATACGAGTTTTATCTGATGCTTTAGGAGCTTAGACACTTTAAAATTAACAATATAAATATTTATGCTTACGCGATATAACTTTTTGCCTATTTCGTTTGTTTGGACAAGAAGAAGTACTCGAAGTAATTGGGAATCTTTTGAGGTAGTTATCTCGGAATTGGTATTGTTTTGGCAAGTTAACCAGAGTTTAGGGCCCTTAGCCTTGTATTAAACTAAATAAAATAATTTACAAGATAAGCACATCCTACACTATATCTCAAGTTCGATTCCTACCGCTGAACCACCCAAAGAAAGAAAAAAGTCCATGCATTTCCTTTACATGAAAAGGATATATATTTAGCAGGGTCAACCGCCTTAACACCTAAAATAGTAACTAGAAAACCTAAACCTCATATATGAAAACTAAAAATTTCAAATGAAAAACACAGTAAGCATTTAGGCTGTAATAGTGTGGCCATAATTTCCCATGGTTTGGTTCCTGATCATGGCTTGAAGCTTCCTTTCTTTGTTGGCAGGGTCCTCTAGCAACAACACTTTGTCCATGTCTTTAACTCCCACCATATGGAGGAAGTCTTGATCCTCTCTCTCCTTCCCTTTGAATAGAAGCCTTTGTGATTGTGGCTCCATGCTTGTGACTAGTGATAAAATTATCTTCATTTCACCTGCAATTAATTGACAGTTGGCATATTGTAAGAGGAATGCTACAGTTTATTGGGTGAATGAGAGAGAGAGTTTTTTGTTTTTTTATTTTTTTTGACAAATGTTATAAATCTTTATTAATCAAAACAGATCACCCAAGTGGGAAGAGAGAGAGAGTTTTGTTCTATCCTTGTTGCATTGATGCAACAAGTGTGGTCAAATTCGCTTTACTTTGGCTATTTTTGACGGAAGTCTTCGGATTTTTCAATTGTTTTTGAAATTTGTATCTTTATTTTTCATTATTTATATAGAAATATTTAATTTAATTATATTAAATTTAGAAAAAAATCCCAAATTTCTCCCGAATCAATTGAAGCACCGAATTGTTTAGTTTTTCTCACCAAACCGAAAAAAGCTTTGACAATATTGGATGTAACCCAATTGTTTAAAAACCGATGAAAATAATTGTGTTTTGCAAATAGTATGGAAAAAAAAAAAATTAACAACTTTGGGTGAAAGGGCAAGAAATATTACCGAATGTTGCATTTGATTGGATGGAGATTTGATGGGAATTAGACCCATTTGAGACTTTCACTCTAATCATCTCACATTTCCCATTCTTCTCTCCTTTCTCTCTCTTCTGAACCAACATTCCACCGGGCCTTAATTCCCAATCAATCACACCACCACCACCACCTCCATTTTCTCCTAGAGAAAGCTTAGAACTTGACCTTGAAAACCTCTTTGTCTTCAATTTGATCAACATTCTCTACAACACTTTCTTCTCTCTCTCTAACCTTGACACCCACCTCCTTTTCTCGCTCTAAACCCCAAATTGACTCTTGGCTTCCTTCTCTCACTAAAATTTGAGTCTTGGGTGCTTCTTATAAGAGTGAATGAGGGCTTGGAGCTATTGTATTGACTTATTTTCTATGAAAAAAGGGCACAAAAAATAGAAAAAAAAACAAACTAGCATACATTAAGGAGACAAGCCGCCCTTGGAATAAATAAACAAGAATTTTTTTTTTTTTTTTTTGGGGTTTAAGAATTAAGAGTGTGGTAGCCAATGGAGTGGTGACAAGTGTGGAATCTTGGTTGGTCGAAATCAGGGGAGTTTATCGTGGCGATCTTCTAGGGCTGGGGGGGTGCACATGGGGGCGGGGAGCAACCAGCGTGCTCGAATGGGGCGTTTAGATTAGGATTAAGATTTTCCCTCCACCTTTTTGTATTTTTTTATCTTATTATTGATGATTAATTGAGTATGCTAGATGTATGACCAAAATGCCCTTGATTTAGAAGGGAAAAATAAAATAAAATAGTGACACCATTGGAAACTATTGTCAAAAGGAATAATTTCATATAAGGGTGAAGCTTTAAACCATCAAATTAAGGGGACACCTCAAAATTTATTAGAAAAGGTTGTTTTGATGCTAAAAAATATTCAAATCGATCATCTCGACCTCAAGAAGTATGGACATGAGAAAAAAATAGATTTCAAGTTATGGAAATAGTGTATCTTGTAATAGATTTTCTGGATCGTCAATTTTCAAGATGTTCAAGCATTTATAGACTTGCTTGATCTACACTATTCTTGGAGCTTTAAATCTTATAATTAGAGATGAAAATAAATTTGCAGGCTATGACAAATATTTTCAATACTAAAACATCATCTTTCAACTCAAATTGAAGTTGTGCCGTACTTTGATTGTTTTGGGCCTCAACCTAATACGGACCACACCCTTGTCGAAATGATAGTTATGCCTTTGTTAGGACTAGTGTTTTAAAACTTGGAATCGGGTTTAAGATTGGCCACCATCCTAATTGAACTGGTGGGAATTTAGAAAAAGTAAAATACTTAGTTCAACAATTCTCGATTTGGATTGCTGGGTTTTAAAACTCTAATGCAGTAAATATAAATGGGCAATGTCCTCTCTTGCTACACAAGTCCTGGTCTATCAAGAACCAGACTCTCAGTGAAACCATATAGTGCGATATTTATCTCTCTCTTGGATATATTGGACTTGATGGTGGGGGGAGAGAGATTTATTTATTTATTGTCTACAAGCTGAAAAGAAATTTGTGAGCATTTGACTCAAATGATAGTATCAATATTTTTGAGAAGAATGAATAGAAGTATGAGTTTTGAATTAGTATTTTTTCTCAAATTTTTATAAAATTTCTCTTTCTCCCTCCAAGCTCTAAAATAAGAATTCCTTTAATAGAACATGAATCATCAGCTTTTTATTTGAATATTCTTATAATCTACCTAAGATCTTTCTCTCTCTCTCTCTCCAATCAAGTTAAAATAGGAAATTCTATAGATTATAAAAACAACACTATTTACCTCAACAACATAAGTATCAATGTTAAGGCATCAAATTAAAATACAAAAATAGTAAAAAATAACCACCTATTCTAATAAGATTAAGAATAAATGAATGACTTAAAAACTAAATAAAAAAAAAAAATAATTTTATTAAAATTCGATATTTTTAACATTTTGTTTAAACTATACCATCATACAAGTAGCATTAGCAAGTGTGAAGACATAATTCCACCTCTAAAAATTGAGTGGCATTCTTGTATTTCATTCCAAAAAGCTAGACATTTTGGTAGGCCTCAGATTATAAATTTGAAACTCCCTAGATTTCAAGATGTGGTCCGGAGGAATAAAAAAGAAAAGACATGCTTAGAGAGAATATTTCTAGGAGATAGGATCGGAATTTGTCAAGTTTAGGGTTTGTCTCTATGTGGCATGAATTTAGTAGGTAGGCCTTCGAGTCCTTAGGATTTGAGTCGATACCATCATGAGACGGTAGGGGTGCAATGGATCAGGGTCAGGCCTTGGACCCGAGGGGTAGACCAGGTCCAGGTTTGGGAATGGGTCCAAAAATTAGAATCGGCAGATCCGTTCCAAGTTCAAATCTTGGACCCGTACACTATTCAGATATGAATTTGGGTTCAGGTGCCTCACTATATTTTCAGGTATGCATCTGGGTATGTGTCTAAATCTGGTGAATTTGGATCATGGTCCGAATTTAGGTCCGGCCAGACCCGTTGCCACCACTACTTAAGTGAGAGAGAGAGAGAGGCGATGCCGCCCATGTGGGTACGAATAATATATGGAGTATGGTTAATAATTTGCATTATATATGCATGTGTTGGCTCTTATAGTGTAGATAATAATCTGCTATGTATTGTGGGATTAGTTTTATGGTTCTAGCTCTCACACGCCTAGGAAGTAGCACATCAATGGTAGAGGAAACCGCTCTCCTTTTGATTCAAATTTTCCATTAAAAAAAGTCTCTCTCTCTCCAAACTTCAATAGAAAAGTTTGCTCTCTCTAATCTAGAACTTTAAGGGGGCTTGCCTTGGTCTAGACCAAGCCCGACCCTTGAGCAACATTTTGTGGCTAAGGCCCTAGTTTTTTTAGAGCCGGGCCACCCAAATCATTGCCACCCCTACTTGCAATTAATTTTTATACTCCTCCACTCACCGAAACCGAACCCCCCCCATCTTCCCCTCTAAGAATGTGCTTAGGCTCACATGCATCTACGTGGGTGTATTTAGTTTTTATGTAATTTTTATTAACTATATTATAGAAATTTCCTCTTTATTCATATTTTCCATCGATTTCTTTATTTGCTTCTCTGTGGTAGGAATAAAACTCAAAATAGCACATTTTGGCTTCCTGTGACATTGCCTACCTAGCCTTGAGCCCTACATAAATTAGTATTTGATACTTATAATAATTATGTTTGAATCTCATATTAGGATTTTGCCATTGATAATGTGAACCTCATGTCATGAAATCAAATATCTACGTGAGGCTAAAGCCAACACATCATTTTTCTCATTCACACCCTTGCTAATGTAAACCCAATTTTTTACGTGAAATGAAATCCAGCCCTTGATTTCCTCACTAAAATAGGAACCCAATTTCTCGAAAACGTCAGACGTATTATTTTTCTCTCTATACAATGGAAGTTACACAAAAATATTTAATTTGTTCCGAGGTTTAAAAATTTGGTGATTCAGATCAGAATAACTCGATCTAGATCGAAAATCATTCTTGGCGATCCCAATCGTGTAATATATCGGGATTCGACGATATCTCTTTGAATCGCCCGGGTCAGTCCCCCATACCTTGAAAGAGTTAAATTCCCACGGGCTTCAACCGGTTCCCGTGGTTTTCAAGTATCTATTTCTTAGAAAAAATTACGTGGCCACCTGACAAGCATTTTTTATAGTGTATTTCTTAGAAAAAACTGATGCGGCCACCTGACAAGTACTTTATATTGATTCTTCTTCAAGACTTTTTCCTGGGACATCAATTTGGAAGGGAAAAAATTTATATAAGGTTGCAACCTTACCTCTAAAGCTATAAATACACCTCAAAAATCCATCGGAAAAGATAGTTTTAATATTGAAAAACCCTTTGATTGATCATCTCAATGTCAAGATGTATGACCATGAAAAATAAAAAGATTTTAAATCTCACAAATAGTGCATTTTACAGCATATTGTCTTACACTATCCATTTTAAAGATTTTCGTATGTTTATAGATCTACTTGATTTTAACCATTTTTTAAATTTATAATTTTATAATTCGATATAAAAATACATTTTGAGATAATCCTAAGAATATTTTACATCAAAATTATATACCATGATAAAATTTGAAGGTGCACCTTATCTCTACAGCTACGGATGCATCTGTATGCCAAGTGCACCTATTTGGAAGAGATGATTGGGGCTCGTTTTGGTTATGCTACCAAGGAGAATGCGATCCTAGACCGGCACCTTATATATCAGATGGCATTGAAGTATTTAAATTACAAATCTTACTAGAACTGCCTGTTCTTTATCAAAACATATAACATAGTTTTTGATGCAATAAGTAGAGGACATCGCTTTCTAATAGTAGGTATGAAAAATAAAGCAGTATTATTTTTTTTGGTTAGTTCAGTGGTAGGAATTGAACTTGAGATATAGCGGTTGCTTGACGTCAAATGCTAAAATAAAGCAGTTGATTTAGTAGCATCAACTACAATAAAGATCATAGTCATTATAGCAACAAAAATCGCCTTGTGCTTTGTCAACGAATAGGTCCATCACAAAAGACCTCATAAGTTCCTGGACTTGAGAGAACAAAAGATAGAGGTGATTTAATTGTCTCTGAAAGATGTTCTAGAGGTTATATGTCTTCCAAAAATGACACTTTCAACCTAGAATATTTTCAGCAGCCCTTCTATAAAGTCCAAAATGCTCATATGCTTAAATCGAGTTCATCTCCTTGTATCTCCCTACGCCTATCCAAGTGAATGATTTTCAACACAGGCCTTGGTTCAAATTTCAAGATGCACCTAACTGTTATATTGGAAATCATGCCAACATATATGTACTTTAACACAGTAAATTGCTATGAGATGGGTAAAAGCATTGCCAATATTCTATAATAACAGCCAAGATACAAAAAATGAAAACTCAGCGTGAAAAGTGCATAAATTTTACAGAAGGAAGAATTGTGTGAATCAGAGACGACAGGTGAATATGTGGAAAATAGTAATGAACTAAAATACAATGACTTTTGGACCACAAAAATTATTATTCTGTAAAAATAAATATTTGACTTTGTAAAGAATATCACATCACCACTTTAGTACTAAAAAAGAACCAAAGAAGTTTAAGAAGAAACTACGATAATGTGAAACCACAAAAAAAAAGAAGAGGAAAATAAAAAAGAAGAAGAAGAGAAGAAAAAAGGCTAAAGTGTGAGGGATCTCAGAGTCATATAGTTTAAGAATCACTCACAGAATGAAACATTACGAATATCTGGGTTGCAAATTCCATCTGCAGAAAAGAGGTAGATTGCGGTTCCCTGTCTAATTTAAGAATCTGTTTCTTGAGAAAGCAGTCAACTAATAAACATAGAGAACTGTCAGTGCGTGCATCATGATATGGTGCTCATATCATGTAACAGAATATGGTCACATTTATGCAGCTAAATTCAGAAGTATTATGCAGCTCTGAAGTAAATAGTACAAAAGCATTCTAGTGGTTAACAAAAGTGGAGATGTTATAATTTAGGCTCAATGATTCGAGAAAAATCAGGGTACTTCCACACATATAAAATTTGCTGGTAAAACAACTGAATATACAAGCAAATCAAGGGAAATGGTATTCAAGCACTGCTGTTGGAATCATTTAAATTCATTTATCCAAGAAAAATCAGTTAAAATTTCAAGCATAGACGATGCAGTGGTGAATCCAACATATATACAAGGACTTTCAGAAAAACAATTTGTAACTAGTAAATGTTATGGTCAAAAGTTCATGAATTCATGGTAGATAGACCTTATGCTTGATAGATTGCAGCTACAAATTAGCTAACTACCTCTCCTCCAAGGCCGTATGTTCCAGTTCCATGCACTTAAGCTGGATACCGTATCTTCATTCAGTTAAAGTTAGTGATAAAAACTCACAGGCACAATACTGATCAGGTGTGTAATCATAACTCAGCCTTAAAATGGAAATTAGGCTTTATATGAAATATCAGCTCATCAGATATTGCGACATGGACAACCATAAGGCACGTGATCAAGATAACCAACTTCTGGTACAACGATACAAGGGAGGTGGGATAAGGGAGAACCACTAACATGCCAGAACAAGTTATAAATCTAGAGATAACTGAAAACAATAATGAAGGTTTAAAATATTAGTATCAAGACCAAGTATGAGCCTTCCCCTAAAATATCCAGGAGAGCATTTAGAGCAAGGCAGAAATAGATAACTGTGCTATCAATGCAAAGCAATGAACAACAAAAATCAGTTTTTACTGTGCCATAAACAATCTCTACTCAAGAACGTAAAAATTTCCCCATGCATTCAAATGGGCGTCTGTGTTATTTTTTGGTGTAATCTTTCAAAATATCATCTTGCTTATAATATAGACAAAAGAAACACCAGGATTCCCGAAAGATATTTTATGAAGGATCTTTGCCAATAGCTGAAATAATAACTAAATAACTAAATATGCTGCATATTTATGGTTGTGATTCTTATTATTTGTGTAAGAGCAGCAAAATCTTATACCAACGGAAAAATTAGAACTACTAAAGATGGTTTTACAGTGAGATCTCTGTACATATGTACCATACATCAATATTGGCATGATTGATTTTTCATTACGATCTCCACACAGATGCAGTATATATCAAAAATATGGAAGCCTTCAAAATTTGCTTGGAACACAATAATTTCAGCATCACCAAAGATTCACAACACTGATTTCATTTAGCAGTCTCATTATGTTGATGGATCTCCTCTGGCTGTGACTTGTAGACGGCATTACTATCAAGAGGCTTCTCTCTCCGAGACATATCAGGAAGCCTGCAAAACTCAGCTGAAACCTTAGTACGTTTCTTTGTCTTCTCAGGAGGGCGAGGCCCTAAGCGGCTCATATCGATGCTTGCCTTGTACTGATACGAAGATCTCAAAACAGAATCATAAGCCTTAGGGGAAAGTAATAGATCTTCATTTCGTGCCCTCAGGTATACCTCATAGGCCAACCTTGGTTTACCATCATTAGCAAGAGCTTCAATAAGCATCTCATAAGTAATTTCATTAGGCTCAATATTTTTTGCTTTCATTCGATGAAACCACTCAAAGGCTGCCCCTCCCATACCTTTATATGCACACCCACTAATAATTGCATTAAAAGTTACTACTGTTGGTTCAATTCCCAAAGAGTTCATCTCACGGATGACAATGTCCACTGCTTTTAATCTCCCTTGTTTGATATAAATAGACAACATGGTCGTATATGCATACAAGTTTGGTTGAACCCCAACTTTTATCATATGTTCCCATACTTGATGGGCCTTGTCATAAAGCTTCCCTTTCTCTAAAGCACTAAGCAAAGCTCCATAAGAAAGGATGGTGGGCTTCTCACCTTGCTCCACCATTCTCATAAAAATTTGGACAGCAGCTGCTGCCTCAGATGCCCTAGAGCAAGCCACAAGGGCAGCATTCCATTCCCGGGTTCTCGGTTTTATGCCTTTTTCTTGCATTTTGTTCAGTAGCCTAATAGCCCAATTCCAAATCCCTCTTCTACTAGCTGCACTAAGAAGAATATTAAACTGAGAAACCATAAGCTCATAGGAAAGATTATTGGGTTTTGGGCCTTTATCTAGCATTTCCTCATAGACCTCCAAAGATGCCCACCATTTCTTAGCCTTACCCATTAGCCATATCACATGGTTGCACACTGATAGGCTTATCTCTGTGTTGTTTTCTCTTATCCTCTGATATAATTCTTTTGCAACAATGTAATGACCTTCATTAGTGCATGCCCAGATGAGGCGCTCATAAATTGCTCGTCCTGGTTTCAATCCTGCCTTATCTAGCTCAATAAGAAGCTTCAAAACATCAGTGGCCTCACGGCCTCCTCCTTTAACAAGCCACCCTCTCATTACCTGATAACAAATTCTAATGGTGAAATTCTCCAACTTGGCAAACTCATTCTCCCAATCTTCACATGAATCATTTTCAATCTCCCCCTTTTTATACTTCTCTCTTGATTCAACGAAGAATTCGAGTGCCCCTTTAGCATCCTCCATTTTCCTGTAAATTTGTAAGACTGTCGAGTAAGTAACAGGAGATGGTGATAGACCGTTTCTTGGAATCTCTGAAAAAATGTCACGGGCCTCCTGGGTCTTTCCCTGTTCAAGGTATACGGACATTAAAGTGTTTAAAGTCACTATATTAGGAAGAATCCCCTGTTTTTCCATGTCTTCAATGATTTTGCCCACTTTTTCATAGGAGTGGGAAGCCTTGGCAGCACCCAAGAGGCTGTTATAAATATAGAGATTCAAAATGGCTCCACCATTGGTAGATTTCTTCCCCCTTTTAAGCCATTCAACAAGTGCAATTGCTGGTTTTAGTCTTTCGGCCATTCCAAAACCCCGTATCATTGATGAATATACAGAGGGTGGAAGGTCCATGTCCCCCAAGACCTCCTCCACATCGTCTGCTCTTTCGGCAAACTGTAAACTCATAGCCAGCGCATGAACGTTAACCCTACCGTTTCTGATATCACTAGCCTTCTCAGCCTCTGATTCAACCAAACTAGGATTCTTGCCATCTGCTTCTCTCTCATCTTCATCTTCACAATTTACCATGAAATCTTTATTATTCTGGTTGATTTCCTTCGAATTTACAGAGACAAAACGCTCTGTTTCCTGATCCTCAAATTGTTCGTCTCCCAAATTGGGAATCATGGTTTCTTTCTCAGATTCATTGCTAAGTGGGTTCTGCTCTAAAGCCCATGAGAGAGTAAAAGCTGCCCTTAGTGAACTGCTATATGCTAAATTAACCTTTGATACCAAATTCACATAACAAAACTTCTGTTTAGATCCACTTGTAGCGAACTCAGACCAAAACCCAATATTACGGTGATGAAATGAACTTACATTTAGGGAATAAATGATTCTCAGAGTACCCAACTGAGAATAAATATGTGGGTTTTTATTAGGTAAATAACAGCCACTACTGTAACTTAAAGAAAGACCAAACCCCATTGTTTACTTCTCCCTCTTCTTCCTACTTGTAGCATGGATGAAAACCCAAATCAGAAACTACTTGGACAAGGATTAACAAGCACAATTAGGCATGAGAAGCTCGAATTCTTGCCTCTTTCCACAAATACAGGAAAAATCACAGTACCCCACATAAGAATTGCTCATATTATGCAATAAACAGTAGCTTTTTCCCATGAAAAATGCAGATTTGATTACATACCTTCTGGAAGAGGATGGACATTGCAGATGAGAAAGAGGTCAAAAGAGCCATTTTCTCTGCTAATTATCTACCATTCGTAAGCTTTTTCGATTAAAATGAACAAGATTTTGGTCCATAGCTTGGCCTGACGAGAATTAGAAAAATGAGAAAAAACTGGATATGAAACTTGCAGCTTCAAAAAAGTGCCATTTTTCTATGTAAATAAGTTCAGAATTACTGGTTGTTTCTGCTGGCATAGTCGTTCATTAACTCACAGCCATTCATTGAGAAAGCTCCCTTTACGAGATATCCAAATAGATAGTAAATAAAACTTGAAAATTGCTGTGCTTTTTCAGAAATTCAAGTTCATACATGTGGTTTTCTTGGAATTATAGGAGTTTTTCTTTCAACCAAACTTAATAAAAGAAAAAAATTGACAAACGAAAAAATTACATGTCGGTATGGTTCAGATAGAAACTAAACTTAGCACCTTAAAACCCCATCCAAAAAATATAATTTCAAAATCTCGCAAATTGTCATCTCAACCTCGAGACTTGGAGAAGAGAAAATATGAATTTTAAGTCTTAAACATAGTGCATGTAATAAATTAATTAGATTGCCTATTTACGAAATTTTCAAACATTTGGAAGAGAGTTTTAGAAAACATTGGGATTATCTCAACATTGACAGTTATGGACAAGAAGAAAATAAGAATTTTAAATCTTGAAAATAGTGTATGTAATAAATTAATTCGATTGTCTATTTTTCAAAATTTGAAGTGCTTATACATTTACCATTGCTGAAATTTTGAATTACATAACTAGGGATGCATAAGGTTTTCGACACTAGACTACATAGTTAATTTGATCGTTTAAAGCCTAGGCTCTATATGAACTTTTCCCTTAAATAAATTTTAGAGATGTGCCTTACTTCTCTCTAGCATAAGGAGGGTGCCTCACATATCTCACTGTTATAAGTTTTTGTAGGTGCTCCTTATCTAAACTATTTTTGAACTTACAAATTTCTTGACAAATTTTTTTTTGATAAACCACAAGGGTTCTCAACTTTAATATTGAGGTGCAGCTTTACTTCTAGTTGGAAGTCTAGGCCTTATACTAATCGCGCCCTATGATTGGGAAATGGCAAAATATACAATGACGTAGTTAAGAGGATTTTCCACTTTTGAATTTTGAAAGAATTACAAAATACCACATGAGTATTTTCAAAAAAAAAAATATTTTTATGCTTAAAGGTGTAAATTTTTCATGGATAATGATTAAAAATTACCGATCTGACTCAAAATTATCCAAGTTGGGAGGAAACAAAAGGTCTTCGGTTTTGGAAGCTATGAACCAGAAACTAGCACCGGTTTGAATGAAATCGGTGAATCGGGCGATTGTTTGTAAGGAATCAGGCGATTTCAGGGTCCTTTGAGTAATCGCATTAGTCCCATCTGAACTATCATTTTATGTGGCTTTTGTGACTAGTTTTTTTGCCACTTTTTCCATTTGATTCAGATTTTGTAATTCTGAGATACAACCTCAACTGTTTCATCTTTTATTTCATGGAAAATGGTTAATGGGACTCGCCATTTCCGAGATTTACTTTTCA